GGACCATAAAACATGTGTCACGTGACCGACGCATGATATAATATTTTCGTGACCTGTGATGACCTGACCTTGACCTGAAAATCAAAGTACAAGTTTGGTACCCTCGGGGTATCTAGAGCATCTGTTCACGAGTGTGTGATCCAAAAATGAGCCTGATCTGACTTGTAAGACGGCGGCCAGAGCCCAAAACGTGAACAAGCCAAAATGCTAATAATTTTTACTTTGACCTGACCTGTGACGTCATCGGTGACCTCGAGGTCAATGAAATTAGGTTTCACACGACAGTTTTTCCGGGGCTATCAGACGCCGTTTGAATTTTGACGATCGGCCCAGTAGTTTCGGAGTTAGGAGGGGGGGGGCTATGAATAGCCCCCCCCCCCCCCCCCCAGTAGGGCGTGTTATACGCAGACCCCAGTGGGGCGCGGGTTAATTTAAGAAACATTTTGAAGCAAGACATCACCAACATTGTTGAAATATTGATTGAGATTCTGTTCATAAACAGGTACGTACATGCCTATGAGCTACTCGATATATCCCGTATGTAGGTCGTATTTACCTATAGACACGAAAGGAGCCACGAAATTTATTGACTGATCACAATTACATTTGTTGTCTTCGAAAAACAAATAAGAAGACGTATCCACTCTCCAGCAACACACCAAAGTTTCCTTCAAACTAAGTGGTGTTAGGCCAAATGTATAGGGCATTTATATAAAGCATAGAGCTCTGTATACAGAGGTCTATGTATAAGGACACAAGACGTACCTAAATACTGTATGCAAATTGCGCTTGATTTTGAAAAGAAAGTTCTGCCTCATACAATGATCGTATACCATCAGCTTTTGCATTTATCCATCTTCATATGACCAACGAATTCACACTGAACGGCCATCACCACTGCAAAATCCGGCCGCTCTACTGCCTCCCGCACGCCGCCGTGTTCCACAGCCTGTAAATCCGGCGGCTCCAGTACGCATTCGGTCCATTACGTAACACGGTCAGTCGCCTCGCCTGCCTTTCTACCGACCTTCGAGCGTACTCAGTTATATAACGGACCTTTGAACAGTGGATAAACAGAACGGATCGAACGAATGTGGCGGGGAAGGAGCGCTTGACGGCGGTGGAACTGTAGTTCAGTGTGGTCAATGGTGTAAAGGTGACAGTAGATTACAGTGACGGGAATGTTGTTGGCTGTTTGCGGTGCATTTCCGTCCATTGAAAGCACATATTGTTTGTTGCTGATCGTGTATTTCCGTCCATTGATAGCAAGTATTTTTGTTTATTTGTTTCTTATTAATTGGTATCAAAGTTCTTCGAGAAGCAGATAACACCTATGTAGATCCACTAAAACGAATAAACAAAGCCATCACGATGAAAAACTAGAAAATGTATCAAAGTTAAGTGACCTTTGTTTAAAAGTTATTGTCCATTTTCGTTCATCATGCTCCTCTCTTCCCCCCCCCCTCTCTCTCTCTCTCTCTCTCTCTCTCTCGCTGTCTCTGTCTCTGTCTCTGTCTCTGTCTGTCTCTCTCTCTCTCTCTCTCTCTCTCTCTCTCTCTCTCTCTCTCTCTATCTCTCTCTCTCTCTCTCTCTCTCTCACTGTTCATGTACTCCTCCCATCAGCTTTCCCTCTCTCCCGGATGTTGTTTTCTCTTCTCTCCTCTGATTTAATTCCCCATTCTCATACTATCTCCCTGTTTGTCCTTAACCTCTGGCCTGCCGCACCATTGCAATGCGCATCCCTGGCAGCATTCCCACTCTCTCTACGATGTATGTACGGCCGTCCAGGTACAGGTATGTAGTGGTTGGTTGTCAACATCACAATAATCGATCTGCGTTGATGAATACGTCTACGACTGTTGAAAACCAATGCCGAAATGTGTGCACGAACCCTCTCCTCATTTGTATTAAGTCATTTTACAGGAGTGTCTCCGTCATTTAAAGTTATTACACCAAAAGCACGTAGGCTAACCAACCACTCTTTTGCTAGAGGGCCGTACCTCTCTCACCTTGATTGAAATTACCGTATGACATGGCACATAACTAACCATGGATGGAGCGGTAGGCATTGGTTATATAACAACTACAAGCGATCGCGAGAGAGAGAGAGAGAGAGAGAGAGAGAGAGAGAGAGAGAGAGAGAGAGAGAGAGAGAGAGAGAGAGAGAGAGAGAGAGAGAGAGAGAGAGAGAGAGAGAGAGAGACAAAGAGAGAGAAAGTGAAAAACAGCCCGACCAACAGGCGGCCCAAGAAAAACGTTCTTCTTATCGTGACTAAACTAAAACGGCAGTTTCGTTAGCGTAAAGAAATAACCGAATGAGATTGAAGGAATATGTAATAAGGTACAACATTCGCCGAGAACAAAACTGCGCCTCAACTGACTGATTAGCCACTTGTATGCTGTCAATCTGGTCAGATGACATCAACATCAGGCCCAGCCAATGACACATACCTATCACTGCATCGTTTAAAAGTCAACAAAAGCGAAGTTGTGATTAGCCGTTTGCAAACTGCAGAGTAAAGCTGCATGGAATACAGTCATGTACGAAAATTACTTAGAGGATTAATGCCTACCATGGCCCTCTGTAGTTTACGTGGAACCTTTTCAAGGCCTTCAGGTGGAGGCACCAGAAAAATGAACCGCGCAGTTTTCAGAGAACGTCATATACATAATCCAAACAATGGGTAATGGTATGCCAAGAGGGACGCAGTGAAGCTTTCAGTCAGTGTGGGTAATTTATGGAACTTTTGAACAGTTTGCAGCGAAGAAAGTTACCAGATCACCAAGTTACTGGAAAGTTAGTGTTACCAGCTCACCTATCAACCCGCGCCCGGCCGGGGAGGGGGGTCTCGAGCTCGACCAACCTCGCCATGGTGGGAAGTTGGTAGCTAATCACATCCAGGTTATATCGGAAAGATAAGACAGCTAGAAAGGAACGGAAAGGGGCAAAAGATAGCTCGCTATAAGATCTTTCAGAATTCATTGGTTCATTTTTGATTAGATCTTCACTGAGTCCACTGGAGGTCACCAATAGCAAAAAAAAGCACGAATGTTTCCCCGGGTTTTGATAATATTCACAAATCGACGCGCAGCTCGGGAACAAATAAAGCTACAGTGCACCAGAAAGACTTTCGAAAGCTCTTTTGAATTCCTGCACAGCATTGTTGCCCACCCTAAGTCATTCATATTCTTGTTTATTTCCTGTTTGTTTCCAGCATGCTTCATGCACGTTTCCTTCCAGACTAGGGTGTAGGTATATTTCTATCACGTGTTTCCCCAGCCACCGTTGCAGGAAATTCCCACTAATCTCGGCAAGACGGCTCAGGCTGACTGGATCAAGGGCCTTGCTGGATCATGGTGCACCGTCACGAGAGGCCGGGAGTGTACCACATTATCTGAGTCAGGGCCAGCACCACCCCTCCCCACCCACACCCCGTTACTCTACCCCTCCCCCTCCCCCGGCGCTACTCCGCAGCTGCAGGCGATGCAGAGCGAGCCGCGTGCAATTGCATACCGTGATACCGCGGGGAATGAGTGCGCAGTGGACAATAAGCACCATTCGTTGCCCAACAGGGGTGATCATTACGCTTACACCGCATATTGGTGTTTAGTGTTCAATGCAGCCCGGAGAGGGTGCAGGACCGTAAAATGATGTTGAAAAACTGAACAGAACCCGAGACCTCAGGGTAGCGCTTCACATCGGCTGCAAATGCAAACAGAGCTCATATTCTCCCGATTAACTGTGAGGCGCAAATAAATCTGAGAAATCAGAAATAATAATAATTCCCCTGTGGTGGAATTGTTGGCATCAAAAGATGCCAACAATGAAAAGATGAGGAATGGTATCATCTGATGCATCGGCTGATATCAGTCTTCACGAGTCGTGATATTTTATAAGAAAACATCGGTATGCCGTTTCGCACCTAGGTACCTAATTTGTACAATGCCACGCGCCACGTTCCTTGCAATGATCCATGTCTAAGGAAATAAAAAACGCTGGGGAGTCGGGGAGAACCCGGCTCCTCAAAGCCCACTGCCTGCCTCAGCCACGAATATCGACCGCTGCCAACGACCGCGACCTCACCCCCCCCCCCCCCCCACCCCCTCCATCCCGCTCCCCCTCCCTCGACCACACGCCATGGTCACGGGCGGAGCATTGATTACATTGAGAACACGTGATAAAGAGTGAGGACGCTGCCACCGCTCGGGAGCTCGATTGTTGACCGCAGTAAGGTAAACTCACAAAAAACAGCGTCCGGTTGAGGTGAAAGGTGCAAGTGAAACGGTTCCACTCCACTGTTCCAAGTAACTTGTTAAAGGGACCCTCCCACCTTAACATTAGTTTTGAGTTGAGATAGCCAAATTGGTGGCCATGGCCTGAAAATACCGGTTTGGGCATTCACAACATCGAAAAATGCTTTAATTCGGAGATATGGAATTTCAAACTTGCAGTTTTCGGATTCTAAGGGGCTAATGCATTGGTATGCCCCCTTAGAATTTGTGACGTCAGCGGAGATCTAACGATTTTTAAATCTTTTACTAAAACGTTTGGCAGCACGCGGTGGTATATGCTGCTTTGCGCGCAACAAATGCCGCACTTTCAAATAAAGTCGCTAGGAACAGCGGAGATCCCAAAAAGTAAACAAAAGTAAAAGTCTAATATCTTGAAAACCGGTGAATATTTTTCGATGAAATTTGGTAGATATTCATTTTTGCTCTTTCTGAACCGAGCGACATCACTTTCATGCCAATTCATTAACTTTTTTGAAGGTGGGAGGGTCCCTTTAAAGATGATATTAAATTTCAAACCTTGGTTACGATTTTATCATGTCTTTTGGTCAATGTTCGTCAAGGCGGTGCGAAACGCTGCTTTCCAAGATCGTGCTTAGGTTAGTTTTGAGCTCCGTCAAGAGTTCCAATTAATTTAACCTGATTTAATTGTACCCCATCCGGTACAATTTAACCAATCACCAAAATGCACGGTAGGCATTGACACCTACCTTTCTTCCTTTGAAGCTTTCCGATACCGTCTCGGCCGTACTAATTCAAGGTTGCAGGGCGCCACGTGTCTGTCAGCCACAGCCAGCACACGCTCCACCACAACCACAACCACCCCCGAGCACAGACTGCGGCACCGTTTCACCAGTAGCCGGGGTAACGCGACCCAGACGAATCTCTCACGGCGCTAGCGGCGTGACGTCGCCCGGGTCGATGGTAGACGCTCCTGACATCTAGCGGCTAGGTGGAGAAGTGTAGGTTCCGACTATGTCCAGCAGGTGTTAGATGAGAGGCTGCTCTATGCCAGAGAGCGCTAGTGTCGGTCCTTAGTAGCAAGAGCAACTCGCCGCATAATAGCACGGCCCTCGCCGGCACAGGAGGGACGGGCTCAGCCCCGGCGACTCACTAGGGTGCCTGCCCAGACCAATGTCTCCCCCTAATTCCTATCATCCTTCCGGCTCTGCAATGGTCTTGTCGACCGAAAGGGCCTAACCCAACAAAACAAACAAACAAAACACAGGATGCAACCCCCTAAGGTTTTTGGTTTTTCGCAAATAACTCGCGTAAAAAGCGGCCAATCGCCACGAAACCTTCAGTACCCTCGCATTGATTAATTTTACACCTACCCTGAAAATTTCATGACGCTGAGCCAAATGACCTTTGACCTGTGGCCTCTTTTCCGAGACCATGTTTGGCCAGAATCGCGATTCGGCGTATGTCGGCTCGCATTAGCCGCGCGTTTGCAAGCTTTTCGTGGTTTCAAACGTTCGAACATGTGATTTAATGTTGCTTCCATGCATTAGGGTGGGTGTCAAGGTCACCTGAAGGTCAGGTCAGGTCATTGACCTTTGGTGACCTCGGTTCACTTTTTCGAGTTTTACATGTTTCTAGGCTAGTTTTTGGAGCTGAATTCGAATATTTAGTAACCATTTGAACATTAACGAAGTAGTTTTGGTGCCTTCGTAACATGTAACGAAGCTGTCAGAGGCGGATGACAGGTACTACGAATACCTACCCGTCACGACCCCTACCGGTTGACCTGACCTGACCTGACCAGACCAGGGCCCAATCTTACCAAATGCCGTGAATGCGCATTCACGGCATTTGGTAACATTCAGAGCTATTCCACATTCACTTATTCATTCGTTCAGGCAACATTCATAATCATTCACGCTATCAAAATCATTGGACAAGATCAGCTGGATGTAAATAAAAAGGATATCTTTGATATCAGTGCCGTAAACTCCGGCCAGTGCTGCCAAATCCTATTTACGGCATTGGCAAGATTGGGCCCTGGTCTAAACGCTTAACGACATCATCTGTGATCGAAACTAACACGAAATTCGTGATCAGCACCCCGGAAAACCCCTAAGCAGTCACACTTTACGACTTTCTAACAGGTCCCGATATTCCCGATTTTTGGGTCATTGACCTGACCTGGAAGGTCAACCGATGACGTAGGACCTTAACATTGGGTATTATTGGCTTCCTCTCGTGACGGGCAACACGCTCGTTTTTACTGCGAAGCTCTAGCTCCACCAGGGGCCAAACGCGAGGGGGTCGTACCCCCCCCCCCCCCCTTGTGCCGTCGAAGGACTCAAAATGGCCTGTGCCGGGGAGTAGGATTATAGCTGAATGAACAAGGGGCAAATGATTTCCGGACACCCTGTAGTCTAGTTTGTATTTTTAAGACCCTATCATTCGACCCTATATAGGCTGCATGACAGAAACAATGGGTGCTGAGACAATGAAACAATGTAGCAATTCTTGCGACGAAAAGCCCTAATCTAGGGTGGTAAAGCATCCCGTCGTCATGCCACTGCCGGATATATGCCTGGCACATGAAACTAGTATTCCAACCCACTCTGGACACCCAAAATACTGAATGAAATGAGGGGTAATAATCGTCTAGCAAGCCTAGAAAGGTAATTTAAAAGGCCAACGACCTGCTACGTCATCATGACACGCCATTCTACTGTATCCTTTTCGTAGGTACACTTGCACGCAATGCTGGTAGACTGTAATGATATTTTGCGACGTCCGCTCGGAGCATTTTTAGCTTGTCACGCACGTGCAATTTTGACTTATAGCACGCCAAATCTTGCACCCTTGACATGTGACTGGTCAATTCTGCTCGTAGTGCGCAGTGTAAGTTACGACTCTTTTTTCATGTTCTTGTGATCGCTTTCAGTTGCACAATGCACATGGTCAGTCGTCCTTATGGGTGCTGTCGATATTTTACAGCTATTGGCTTGCAACACGTGTAAGGCAGAATTAAAATTTTGCTGGCTACCTGCAGACTGAATATAGTGGACGTTTCGACTTTAAATGCCGGGGCCTGAAGAGATTTGCTGACCTTTTCACAAACTTAACAGTTTTGTTATAATGGCAAAGGCTGGTCGGCAAAGGCATTGTTACAAATTAAGTTTGATGACCATTTAGGTAATGCCAAACTGTTACTTCTTTTATGGTTTAGAGCAGGACAAAGGTTAATGAGTGGCTAATTAAATGATCGGGGCTGGAAGCATCATTTGGGTATTGACCTTTCGTGATCCAGGTGGATTGCTTTTGCATATGTATTCTGAAACAAATTTGGAGCCGGCTGAAGCATAATCCGGCGCTACACCTGTCGCGCGCAGGTGTAGCGCCGGATTGTTTCGTTTCCGGATTGTATTGTTTCCGGACTACTCTTGTAATCGTTTCTAGTTGCACAGGACTAGCCTTACGTCGCAAATCGCCATCATTACCAATGGTCTTATATTTATCGTTTTGTAACACTTTCCAATTAAACGTACTCAGCCAACAAAGGGGTTTACTCTTATCCAGACATGTGCATGGATCCGAGTGATGGATCTATGATCTCAGTGGATCTCTAGGCAAATTGCAGGTTCGGATCTATGATCCCACCGAATCCGGCGTGAAAAATTTATACTGGATCTATGAACTCACAGGATCTGACGATAAACCAAGGACATGGATCTATGATCTGAGTGGATCCCACCATGCACAACATTTGAAACCAGGTTTCCAAGTGTTTCTATGTCAATAAGTGCCTTAAAACGATGGATTATGACGTGTTATCACATAAAATCACTAAATAAGAACGCTTGTGAGTTGCAACGAGTGATCTTTTGGGATTTCTGTGTTGATCAAAAATAAATGAGGATCTATGATCCCACTGGATCTCAAGCAAAAGTACTAGAATCGGATCTATGATCCCTACGGATCTCTAGATAAATTAAAGAGCTGGATCTATGATCCCGACGGATCCGAGATCAGGATCCGTGGGATCAGATCCCAGATCCATTTTCTCGGATCCATGCACATGTCTGCTCTTATCATGACAATACCGAGCATATTTGTTATGAAAAAATATTTTGCTGGCAAATGAGTATATTTTAGCTTGACAGTTGCCAGTTTTCCAGAGAGAAAAATGCTAACCTTGCATTTTATCTTCAAGAAAATCACACAGCCCCAACTTAACACATGTACAGTGGATCTTATTAGGATCTCCAGACGTAACTAGATGGCGTTGAGCCTTAGTCGAGTCCATGTCAAATTCAAGGAGAGGTCACTACCGAGCTGGGCCCGATGGGGAGGTGGGCGGGGAGGGGGGGGGGGGCGGGTGGCGAGGTCACGGTGCGGGTGACCTGTCAAACAGCCCCGGCGCGGTGGGGCACTGCCGTAGGCAAATGGCGCACTCCAGTGTTGTTCCATATCGCGGTGGTGGGCCGGGCGGCCGGTTAGCTTGGCAGCTTGGAAGGAAAGGATAATGAGGCATGGTTTTGCTGTGGCCGGTTCACCTACTGTTACTTATGATGCTCCCAGAGAAATGCAAATGTGGCGTTGATAATGCAGCTGGCAATGGAATGCTAGCGAATGCTCCGAGCGCCTAGCTATAAGGATTTAGATTATTTATGTCTCCTGAAATTTTCATTGAATATAATTTAAGCACTAGAGAGATCGTATTCGTTCGCCAGTTTCCGGCTGGCGTTTCTTGCGTAGAACGCCCTTGGGCAAATATTTAGGTATAACGCAGGTGATTTTTTTTTTTTTTTTTTGCTGGTAAGACGCCTTTAGGGTCAAATCAAGCAGTGGCGGCGGAACACCTTTAATGAAGTGGAGGCACTGCCGACTTTTGGTCCCATTCTTTCCATGCAACGCCCATAGGGCTAATGTTAAAATGCCAAAATCAAACGGGGGCACAGTGCCCCGATGCCCCCCCCCCGTTCCGCCACCACATGAAATCAAGTCGCTAAGAGACGATGAGGAAAAGTGGACGAACGCCACATATCTGTGCATGAATTCTCGAGCTATAAAAAGCTTAAAGCTATTTTACGTGTAAGCTAAAAAACAATAAGATCTGTTAATAAAAATATTTGACCCGAAATTAACTTCTGTGTTTGTCTGACCATGATTGCATGTATGACCCCGGTCCAGCCTCGTTCAACTCGGCCCAACCTGGTTCGGCTCCCCTTTTTAAATATAAATTTAGCCCGAGCCTTTTGAATGGAAGGAATCACAAGGACAGAGTCCCCGCTAAGCTGAGCTTGTTAAGCGTTGAAACCTACCATCTACCCTCCGATCAAGCAATTCCTGGTCTATTGCAGACTGTGGTTTTGAGGTTTAGTCTATGGCAAAATGGTCTATGGTTTAGAGTCCAAATTTTAACGTGCGCATATAGCCGCGCACGGCCGGTCCCCTCGCTGACTTCGCCTGGCAGCGGCCTGCCACCAACCACAACCATACCCGTCAGGAGGCTAAAAAACGTCAAGCACACGTCGTGTTTCGAACCCGGACTTTTGCAACCGGGACGTGCGCCTTCACCACATGGCACATGGAGTCCAACTCTCTACCAACCGAGCTAACGGGAGTCCGGGACGGACATTTACCTTGGGGTTTCGCCTCGTGACATTGACAGACGTCAGACACTTTGGCCGAACTTTAGCCGAAACACTGAGCACGCTGCGCAGGGCGATAGGTTGGGTAACCTGTGAGCTGAACGCGATGTCGTGAGTTCGAGCCCCACTCCCGGGCCTGGTTTTATCTAGACACAACCAAAACCTTTCCCTCTACTGCAACACAGCTAAGCACGATGACATCTTTCCCCAATATCTTTC